ATCAGCCCACACATTTATACACAAATGTAAATGAGCATGTAAATTGCATTTAAACTGTAATAACCCAGCATAAGGATTTCAGTTGCACCGGTGGTAACCGTCATCTTTATGTGCATTATGTTAGGTTTTGTTATTTACATGTAAGCAAACTATATTTGATGCTGCATAATTTGATCGGAACTTTGGAGCGGGTTCACAAATCCTTTAAACAGCTTAATTAATATTCATGCCTTAATCCTTGGCCAATTTACATGCATAAAATATGTCTAGTTTTGCGAATATGAATTCTAGGAAAAGTAACCATTGTTTTATTGTAGTAAAAGTGTAGTAACCATGGATGTAAGAATGTATTAGAGGCTTACAATCACTGTCAAATCAGCGTTGAACTTTTTACGCCTGTTTGCAGACAGAAGAGAGACTATAAGAGGAGAAAACAAACACACACCCTCTCAGTGTTTACAAAGGGTGTGAGAAACATCATGACCTACTGTTACAAATAAGATAAAGTGCTATAGAAAGGGTTTAGTTAGTGTATTAAAAAACGAATGAAGTTAAGAGTCGCCAAGCGAACTTCAGGGTTTAATTAATATTCATGAGCAGGAAAAGCGGAAGTGGCAGGTAAGCCCCTCCCCGCAGGTATAAAAGCACCTGTCCGAGAGGTCAGCTGAGCGCAGACTCACCCGATGAGCAAAAGGAGTCCTGGCAGCTTTCAGGTAATTTAACCGTGTAAACGTCTGTGTCAAATCAAATGAATGACAAAATGAATCTAAAGGAAAGAGGAATTGACTATCTGCAATGCTTCTCTTTATTTGTTTGTAGACAGCGTTTTTAAATCATTTTTTGATGCAGTTTGAACTGTTTATTTAACTTTTTCAACTATTCAACCAATGACCTACAATGATGTTATATAGTACCATTAATTTACGCTGAGAGAGTTAAGTTTCATAAGCAATATAGCTTATATAAATTAGTTGTCAAATCATTTCTGCGTTGGCACACAGTTAAAATAGCATTTATAATGCAAGATATTACTATTGTTTACGTTTGCAAATGTTGTAAATATTAAGTAATGTATGACCTTTACAAGAAGCCTATTTATAATGTGCTGACTAAATATTCTTTAAAGGGGTCATATGATGCGATTTCAATTTTTCCTTTCTCTTTGGAGTGTTACAAGCTCTTGGTGCATAAAGAAGATCTGTAAAGTTGCAAAGACTAAAGTCTCAAATCCAAAGAGATATTCTTTATAAAAGTTAAGCGTTAGCCACGCCTACCTAAAACGGCTCGTTCTAACACGCCCCCACATATCTACATCACGATGTGGGAAGATTTGCATAACACCGCCCAAATGTTCACGCAAAGAAAGAAGGCGTAACTTTTATTCTCGCTGTAGTATTGTTGCCGCCACTGCCATGTCGTGAAGGCGCTGTGTTTCGTTGTGAAAGCTAAACTACTTTGTTTGGTCTTCCAAAAGAGGACGATATCTGCTTCGTCATGCCTGGAGCTGATCCGTGCTGGTCGCTGAGGAAATACATCAACTTCGTGCTGTGGATCGCCGGATCGGCTTTCACTGTGGATGAAGCAGAGTCCAGCCCGGGGTCGTCACATGTGGTTGCTGCAACCCGCCGGCCACTTCTTCGTCGAATCTGCCGGCCACGCCGTTCTCAAGCCCACCGCCTCTTCTCATCGCATGCCAATGTGCATTGGCTCGTTTAGTTTACACTCGAAGTAGATTGGTCCCTCTAAGCGAGATCCCAATTTCGTCGGTCCTCCGACGTGACGTCTCCGTTCCCTCCTTCAGGGAACGAGGGTTACATACGTAACCGAGACGTTTGTCATTTCTCCGATCACAATTGTAAACATGGTTTTATGTTTACGTGACGCGATGCAACACGTAAAAAGACAGTATAAGTCATTATAATCAGTAATTATGTCCCCACTGGATGCAACAAATGCCTCGTTTATAATGGGTTTTAAAGTTTTTGTCTCGTCACTCCGGGCCGGACAGGGCATCACAGTATGGTGAGGGGCGTAACATTTCCGTCACACGCTTGAGGTATTCGGCCAATCACAATGTGCTGGATAGCTGGCCAATCAGAGCGCACCTCGCTTTTGAAAATTTACCCTGATCTTTAAATTCAAAAAGTTTTCACCCCCTCTTAATGAATGAATCATTAAGGAGCATCAGTAAGCGTTTGAACCATCTGTAATAGCTGCATATGAGTCCCTCAGTTGTCCTCAATGTGAAAAGATGGGTCTCAAAATCAAACATTCATTGTTGGAAAGGGTTCAAATGCTGGAAAACCAAAGAATTTGTGGAACCTGAAGGATTTTTCTGAAGAACAGCAGGCAGTTTAACTGTTCAGGACAAACAAGGGACTCATGAACAACCATCACTAAACAAAAAAAACACAGCTGTGGATCATTTAGGTTACAACACAGTATTAAGAATCATTTTAAACAAGGTCATTTTTATAAATTCAACTATTTTCTCTTTTTCTCCTATATGTAAACATGTTATGTGAAATACCTTATTCAGGTCAGCACTAAATAAACAATAACATGCATTTTGCTTGATCCCTCTTATTTTGGTAAAATAATTATTGTGTATGTAAACTTTTGACTTGAACTATAGATGGATGGATGGATGGATAGATACAGTAGATAGATAATGAATGATTTTTGTAGATTTTAATATAATATTTTTTAAACTGTATATGTGCAGCTGCAGACTCGGAGAGCAGGAATGAACTGGAATAAGGGGGCGTGGCCTGTTCCGTGATGGTGTGTGACATTGATCCAAAAGTTCCAGGTGTGAGGGATGGAAAGGTAGAAAAGTTTAATAAAGCGTTGTACTTAGATGGTTCACAATGACATAAATTTCCTTTTCCCTTTACATCCACTGTGAAAGTATATTAATGCACAATTCTTCCTCTCCAGAATGACCCCTGGTCATGTGACAGCTCTGCATCTTCCTCTGACAGTGATGATGATGAAAAAGACAAGAAAAAGAAGAAAAAGCTGAAGAAGAAAAGAAGCAAGGTACTTAGATTATGAAACAAGACGGAGTCCAAGTAGCGAACCCTGCAGCATCCCGCTCATTCCACCTGCTTAATTAGAGTTTAATGAACACATGAATTAACCTTTTACTGCATATTAATTTCAGAGCAGGAACTGTGTAGATATTGACAACTTGCTTTTGTTCCTGTTTTGTATATCACTTCGAAATAAAGCATTTGCTAAATGCATAAATGTAACTGATATTTGACATAGATAAAGGAATGTTTTATTGCGTGCTAGAGTTTATTAATCATCCTCGTCATCTTCATCATCAGACAGTGACAGCAGTGAGGTGTGCAGATTAATAAGTTTAACTGGTTTCATATGTAATTATCTTTGCAGTGTGGCAGCTAGTGCACATGTTACAGTATGGTTTTGCTGTCCTGTGATTTACTGTGGTAAGTGGAAATCTAGGGCTTAAAGTGCTTGGGCAATCTGTATTTCTCACACGTACTGAGGAGCTGAAAGTGTCACAATCTGCGGTGTTTTAGTGTAGAGATTTGTACTCTCCGATGTTAAACATAACCTAGAATGCACCTGTGCTCTACAACACTGCCAATCAGAGCGACAGAGTTCACCAAATCAGCTTTTAACATTCATAAACACACACACACTACATCACCTGCGGTTATATGGGGAACTTCAACTTTGCCTTGATAGTTTTTTTGAAAGTAACATTAAAGCAAAAACAGGAACAGAGTGTTTAACCAGTTTCTAGACTGGATAGTGTTTTATATTTTTATATTATATATTTATATTTTATATTAGCTTCTATTTTATTTTATTTGTGTTTTGTTTTGAGCTGGAGAGCTACTAATCATCGTATACTCATGTTGAGTGGAAGAACAGCTCGTTCTACTGAACATCTTGTTTTTGCATTCAACCAAAGAAAGACAGTCATGCGGGTTTGCAGCAGCATGTGTAAATGAAGACAGAGTTTTGACTTTCAGCTGAACTTTAAATAAAGGCAGTGTTTATTTACCGCTGTTCTCCTGCAGAGGAAGGAAAGTTGAGTCACGGCATGCTGAACAACAGTCACGGCTCGCTTGTGTAAAACAGGATTTGTAGAGTGTGTCTCATGGCTGCTGTCCTAATTATGAAATATGTGTGTTTATCACAAAACAACAACATTTACATCTTCTTCTTGACTTATCTGGGTCACGCTCCCAGATTTACTCACTCACGCATTCTCCTCAACAGGATGAAAAAGAAGAAAATGAAAATCAGCGAGACTGCAGAGCCGGGGATTCTCACAAACAGGTAAGATGGATCACAGGACAGGTGTTTCATTGTGTGTGTGTGTGTGTGTGTGTGTGTGTGTGTGTGTGTGTGTGTCACACTCCGGTGGTAATTTTACTCTATGAAACACCTGTGAGTTGTAGGCCTAAGATAAACAAACATTCACTTAATTTGGACAGACAACTAAAAGCCTGAAATATGTGATGCATGAGGAAATGAGCTCTTTCCATGCAGAGTTTGGCTATGCTTACTGCACAGTGCATATATAAAATTATTTTATTTTATATGATATAAAGTATAATAAAAGTAAGGCATTCAATCGTGTGTGTGTGTGTGTGTGTGATCCTGGAGCACAAAACCAGTCATAAGTCGCTGGGGTATATTTGTAGCAATAGCTAACAATACATTGTATGGGTCAAAATCATTGATTTTGTGATTTTATTCATTTATTTTTTATGTGAGTGTTTAATTTGAAAATTATTTATTTATTTATTTTAATTTGATATTTTTACAAATAAATCAAAATGTATAATTTTTATTGCTATTCTTTATTTTTATTTATTTTAATATATTTTATTGGGATAGAGATGTATTTTATTTTATTGTTTTTTTTTTTTTTAGATATATGGGGATTTTTAGGGATTTTATTTTAGTCACTAGTCATTGTATTCTTTTGTTGAGTGGAAGAACAGCTCGTTCTGCTGATCATCTTGTCTTTTTCTCGCTGGTCTTCCACTGGTGATGTTTTTCAGGTCTGGAGGGAAACACTGAATTAACTCCTGCAGGAGAAACTAAAGGAGACGAGGAGAAGAAAAAGAAGAAAGACAAAGTAATTTCTCCTGTTTAAGACTGTCTCTGTTATATTATTTAAATGACCTTACTTTTTTAATTTGCAGGATAATGTTTGATTGCTCGCTATTTAGTTCATATATTGATTAATTTTGCTTAATTTTTCCCAGGATGCAGCTGCAATCACTTCAGACAGTGAGAATGAAAAGAAGAAAAATAAAAAGAAGCAGAAAAAGGATAAGAAAAAGAAGAAGGTATGCAGCGCAGAGGTATAAAAATGTTTCAATTTCACAGTATCTGTCTGGAATCTGAAATCTCTGCATCTTCTGTATTTCTTAGGATTCCAGCTCATCTTCCTCGTCAGACAGTGAGGATGATCACAAGAAGAAAAAGAAGCAAAACCAAGAAGAAGAAGAGGAAGAAGGTACAGCAGTGCATTGGTGTGATTGGAAATCTGTTTTTATTCCCACAGAAAAAAAATACATTTTAAAAAAGGTAATTATGACTTTTCATCTCAGGTTGTTTTTATATCTCACAATTCTCAAAAACTTAAACTTATTTTATTTCAGCTAGCTGTCAAAGTGACATTTCTCATTTTCATAAAAGAGATAGTTCACCCAAAAATAAATTCTGTCATCATTTACTCACCCTCAAGTAGTTCCAAACCTGTATACATTTCTTTGTTCTGCAGAACACAAAGGAAGATATTCTGAAGAATGCGGGAAACAGAGCAGTTCTGGGGCACCATTGACTTCCATAGTATTTTTTTCTCCTACTATTGAAGTCAATGGTGCCCCAAAACAGCCTGGTTACAAACTTTCTTCAAAATATCTCCCTTTCTGTTCTGCAGAACAAAGAAATGTATACAGGTTTGGAACTACTTGAGGGTGTGTAAATGATGACAGAAATGACATTTTTGGGTGAACTATCACTTTAAGTTAGACTTGACATACTAAGATAATTGCAATAAAAAACTATAAAAAAAATAATTAGACATATTTCTTAAAAAAAACAGAATTACTAAAACTTAAAACTAAAATTAAAATGGAAAATATAAAATAAACCTGAATTCAAAATGTAAAAAAAAAACTAGTGGTATTTCTTTTCCTAATTGCACGTTTATATCTTATCTTATATCTTATAGTTTTTCTCTGAATTGTGAGATAGTCACAACTATTTTTTTCTGTATTGTTTAATGCAAGTTAAACATCTCTTCTCTCTCGTCTGTCAGAAATCAAGCAGTTCTTCCTCTGACAGCTCCAGTGATGATGAGAAAAAGAAGAAAGACAAAAAGAAGAAAAAGAAAAAGGAAAAGAAGGTACAATGCAGCTTAAAAGCATGAAAAGTTCTAGAAATCATCAGATTTCATGTGTTTTTTATTAAATGCAGACAAAAATTCATTCAAGTCAACATGAGATGACGTAACTGGTATTAAACTCCAAAATAAACTTTCAGAGAAGTTCATCTGACAGTGTGTCGAAACACTCGTTATAGTCATTAAGTGAAGTCTGCTATTGTCCGACACTAACATCTGACTCACTCTTGGAAACTAGTTTGAGTTCAAGGGTTAAAATCAAATTCACTCATTGAGCTCATTATGACTTCCAGGATTCAGGAGGCGAGTCTGCATCGGACGCAGAGAAAGAGGAGAAGGTAAGAAACCGGAGAATTGAGCTGAAGTCTCTGTTTGATCTCCTGTGAGTGAGTGTCAGTGTAACTCATGCTGCTCCTCTTCTGTCTGTCAGGAGCTTGAGCTCAAACAGGAGGATGGAAAGCTTCAGCTGGTGGACGCTTTAGTCTGTTCATTTATTTGTGCAGATTTGAGTCTAGTTTAACCCTGTTTAGATTCTTAAATCCCAATTCTGGGTGGAGAAAGCAACATTTATATAACTTTTACCAGGATTGACACAGTCATGAATTCTTGAAAATTGTGTTTCTATGGTTTGGAAAAGTCATAAAAATGAATATCTTAAAAGTCTCATGGAAAGTTCTTTAGTAATATAATATGTATTTTATGTGACTTTTTTATTTTAGTTTAGTTTCGTTTATCTCTGAAAAAGTTAATGCCTTGTCGCAAAAGTCACATGTAACGTTTTTTAGTAATATAATAGAAGTTTATTTTATTTTATTAATAATTGTCTAGTTACGAGTCAGGTAAATGTGCTTATCTAAACGTTTATGCAGGGTTAAACCTAAAACCATAAAAAATTACTTTAAATAAAATAATTTTAAATATACTTAAAAATATAACTTCAAATAAAACAGACATTAAGTGAAATAAAATAGAATATAAACTTATTTTATTCCAGATAGTTCCCAAAAAAAAAACATTTCTCATTTTTATTTAGTTTAATTGATGTACTAAGTAATATAATAGAAGTTTATTTTATTTTATTAATAATTGTCTAGTTACGAGTCAGGTAAATGTGCTTATCTAAACGTTTATGCAGGGTTAAACCTAAAACCATAAAAAATTACTTTAAATAAAATAATTTTAAATATACTTAAAAATATAACTTCAAATAAAACAGACATTAAGTGAAATAAAATAGAATATAAACTTATTTTATTCCAGATAGTTCCCAAAAAAAAACATTTCTCATTTTTATTTAGTTTAACTTGATGTACTAAAATAACTAAAACTAAAAGTAAAAAATGATGAAAACTATATGCACATTACTAAAACTGAACATAAATAAAAATGATTTAGAAAAAAACAACAACAAAAAAAAGTACTTATAAAAACACAATAAAATTAATAAAACATTAATAAAAATGAAAAACATGTAAATATATATATTTTTAAAATAGCACTGCGTGTGGGGAGCCTGCTTCACTCAGAACAGGCTGAACTGATGGCTAATGGTGGTCACATGACTCCTGTAAGCGACTTCCTGTCCTGTGCAGCACTTCCTGCGGAGTCTGCGGGTTTGACTGCTGTCAGGGACCCAGAAACACATTAATCATCCAATTATGTGTGTAAAAACACGCTTTCCCAGTCACACACTCACCGTGAACCGCGCTAGTTTACTCTGTGTGCAGGTGACAGATCTCCATCTCTTATTATTAAATTATTAGCTTTGTTAATCAGAACTTTGCGAAACATGATTTTTATGCCCTAAACTCTCTGTCTCTCAGAAGGAATGCAGTTCATCCTCTTCATCGGACAGTTCTTCAGACAGTGAGGATGACAAGAAGAAGAAGAAGAAGAAAACCAAGGAAAAGATCAAGTAAGATTTAAGCTTCATCATAAACAGCTGCATATGTTATTGGTGGGCTGGTTCATAACTGACATTTGTAAAATGAACAATTCAGACCGTAAAAGCAGACCGAAGCTGATTTAAAACCAATCAAATTCTACTGTACTCTAAACTGAAAACATCCTGCAGTTCAACTGATCAACTATATTACTTTTGTGATTTTAGGTATTCATTTATTCTTTTTGTGAAGTCAACGTAAAATGCTGTTGTAACCCATTTTATGTCTGTAACTGGTGTGTTTTTGAGTGGAACAGAAAATTCGACATTGAAATAAAATGTAGGGTGGGATTTTATCCAGTGTGAATTAACTAGATGGTGAAAAGGCATTGTTAGGCATGAGAAATACAAGAGCGCTTATTGGAATTACTTCAAATTAAAACCATTAAAAAATATTTCTGCTATTATTCCCAACAGGACTCCAGCTCCTCTTCATCATCCGACAGCAGCTCCTCATCCTCCTCAGACAGCGACAAGGACAAGAAGAAGAAGAAAGTGATGATTAGCTACCTATTTCCTACAATTTCTTAGCAGTACTCTGAAGTACAAGCCTTTTCTTGTTTCTTAAGGATTCATCTTCATCATCGAGTAGCTGTTCATCATCATCTGACAGTGATGATGACAAGAAGAAGAAGAAGAAGAAAGTAAAGGTCAGATTGATTTCCATACATAAATGTAATATATGTACATATATTACATTTCCATATATGAAGTGTAATGTCATGTGAGGTAGAAATGTATATGAAACCTATTAGAAAGTGGAAATATATATATATATAT